AAGTCCGCCGGTGTGGTATATTAAGGTGAGGACCGCAGCGGTGACCACCGCTTTCCAGCGTCTATCATCCATGGTGGTTAACAACGTACGAAAACAGCAATCCAAAAGGTGTTTTTGAGTGTTTATTGGGTTTTTCCAAAAGCAGGGCAAAGAACAGCAAGAAAGCAGGGAGAGCGCAGGGGGAACGAGAAGCTGAGAACGCTCGCAGAGACGCTTGACGAACGTGTGTGTATAGAGTTGAGAGAGGTTGGGAGAGTTGAAGAGGAGAGGAATCCGGGGGGGAGGGGGGGCGCGCGAAGTCGAGGTCATTCATACCTGTGAACAGTGTGCTTCGTGTGGCAGGTGCGCGAATAATTGAATCGTGTAAAGGCAGTCGCGGCGACGAGTTCGTTGGTGAGGAGAGAAGGAGCGGATGAGGGTCGGTCGGGAGAGATGCGGTGGTGGTGGTGGAGGTGGTGGTGGTTGATTGAAGATGGGAAGGAAGTCGTAACTATCGAGGGGAAGGAGCCTGAGTCTAGGCCGATAAGCGACCAACCGCGGCGATAAGCGCTTATGGATTCAACTCCACTTCGGGGGGAGAGGGACGGATCGATTGAGCCCTGACAAGGAGATTGGTATGTGAAGGGATATCAGCACTTCAAGTGTGACAGGTAGAGAGGAGGGGATTATTTCTAGTTGAGGCCAGGAGGTGGGAAGTGGGGGGGGGGGGGGGGTGCGGAAGACGAGAGAAAGTGGTGGTTGTAATGATGATTTGTTGTTGTTATTGTCCCTGAATCTTTTTTTTTCAGTTGGCTTTGTTTACCCGCAACGCCGCCGGAGCCATGGTTGCTCCGCTTTGGGCAAGCCGAGTTGTTATGGCAGCTAACTCAACTTACTGTACATATAATTAGGTAGATACGTACAGTCGCTTGGGTAGTAGTCGATGTCTATTACAGCATGAAGCTGCCCAACCCAAGATGATGTTTTTGGAGGCTTGTACTTTATCAAAGGGTGATCCTTTTTGATAGTATCAGCTCCCTGTTTTCCCTGGCCCTTGTGGTAGTGCCTCCCTTGCGGACTCGAAACGAAGGGGGGAGAGACGGCACTGTCAGCCACGCAAGTCCACGGAGGGTGCAGGTAGTCGCTCATTGAGTCAACCATCTAAGTTTTGGTACTCTGTAGAATAAGAGTAATCATTAATGGTCTTTGTGTAGCAATGCATGGTATGAGTCAAAGCCTGATGAGGTCTTGCACGACGAAAAGGGGCGGGGGAAGATATAAACACGAACGCAACTCTGCTCCACTAGTACTACTCCGTACGTATATACTCTCGCATCCCCAAAAGTTTTTCCTACACTCCGAAACCACGACACCAGCTGGATGTATCCAAGAGAGAAATATTACACCTGCAAAGTGAGTCGCATCACAGTTTTCTCCAAGTTCGAGTATTGTGTGTCCCGACCACCTTCCCAACTACTGAATACCATGAGTTCTTGATCGATTAAACTGCAGCAACTCCACCGGATCGACGCGCCGGGGGTGGATCGGGCCATTCTTTGGTGGCCGACGAACAGACACTTGGACCAGCTGAGCCTGCCATGCCATGGCCGGGCAAACCACAAGCAGGACTGCATGATTATTCTTCCTGGTGCACGGTACATAGACTACAGGCGCTGCATCGTGTCTAGTTCACCAAGTGGAACCGACTCCGAGTCGGAGGAACAATGGATGGTGGATCCTGTCAAGACCTTGCGGCATGCTAATGTTACCGCGTGTCTGCATGCATGATTCAACTAACACTACTAAGAGACCAGAACGGTAGATTCGCGTGCACGCGCCAATCTTTAGCTTACACAGTAACTATATAACTGACCTGCACAACCGTCCGCTAAATTCTATGCTCCGACCACACTCACCTCTATACCAACACGCTGAATAGCTCACCTCCTACAATGGCCCGAATCTCACCACCACCACCACCTCCCCCCCAAGCCACTACACTACCAACCAACCTCACCAAACCAGACACTACCAGCAGCAGCAGCAGCACACCTAACACCACCAACATCACCTCAACCTCACACCAGCAGCAGCAGCAGGTCACCAATTCAACTTCAACTTCACCCTCCCCCTCCCCCTCCACCACCACAACCCCCGCACTCCCCACCCCCAAACTCCTCCTCCAGATCCACGACCTCCGCCACCCCTCCGTCACCACCTTCCTCACCCTAATCCCCAATCTAGTCTCCACCCTCGAAACCGCATTAACCACCATCCTCCAAACCCTCTACACCTGCCCATCCCCCCCATCATCCCCATCCTTCCCAAAATCACCCCCAAAAACCCAAATAACATTCACCCCAACCCTCCCCCCGACCCGCTCCATCACCATCCACCTCCGCCCCATCCCGGGCGTCGCCTACACAAAAGGCACAGACCTCGATCGGGATCACAAAGAGATCCACCTCTCGCTCTCCTACATCGCGACCTGCACCGAGCGATCCACCCCCTCCACCACGCGCGCCGAGATCGTCGGGGTCCTCACCCACGAACTCGTCCACTGCTACCAGCACACGGCGCCCGACGACGACGACGACACCCCCCACCCGCCCGGGGGCCTGATCGAGGGGATCGCCGACTTCGTGCGCCTCAAGGCCGGGCTGGCGCCGCCGCACTGGCAGCGGCCGCGGTCGGCGGCGGAGCGTCCCGAGAAGTGGGATCAGGGGTACCAGCATACGGCGTATTTCTTGGCCTGGTTGGAGGATGTCCGCGTCGGGAGGGGGGCGGTGGGGTTGGTGAATGATCGGTTGTTGAGGGTTGGGTATGTGGGTGAGGATGACGACGGGGACGGAGAGGGGAAGGGGAAGGGGGAAGAGTCACAAAAGCGAGGGGAAGGGTTCTGGCGGGGGTTGTTTGGGGCTGGGGTTGAGGAGTTGTGGGAGGAGTATGGTCGATATCTGGATACCTCGGCGGGAGAAGAACGCTAGCTGGGGACTCGACGGAAAGGTGAGATCAATCTTGAGTAGAGCTGTGGGATTGTATGTGGAACTGGATGGACAGGCACCTCCATCTCCATCAATTTGAGTTTAAGATATTCTCGTCAGTTGAGGCAGACTTTATGGGGAGTATAAAGACCGAAAAGTGAACATATAGAATCCATTGGATTTATTGAGTACATGTAGATTCAGCCACCTGGATCTCCCAAACAATTTTTCGTCTTTGGTACATTCCACACCTCCCCCCCCCCCTTCCCATTGCGAATCTCTATTGGTATAAAGAAAAAGGGACGAGCTTTATAACAAGAATGAAAAATAAAAGAACACAACATGATAGAAAACATCAGATGAAGTAGAAATTCCCGTATTGTACAGAACCTTGCGAAAATTGCGAAATTGGTAGGAATAATATGTAAATGTTGCTTGCCGTCAATTGCCACCTTGACAAGGTCTATATCAAAATGTGACGCCGTTTCCAAACACTGCTCTCATGAACCCCTCCCCTCTTTACACAATCACCTCCCCCAGATCCACGTGAACGGGCTTCCAGGGGGCGGCTCCCTCTTCTTCCATCGAGTTGGGCAGACGCACTTCCAGCGGGCTGTACAGGTACCAGGCCTTGAGGGCAGCAACGGCCGCCCGGGACCGGGCTTCAAGCAAACTAGAACCCGCACCCTCGCCCAGCTTATCCTGGCCGGAGTAGATGCCAACGACGAAGACTGGGTGCCGACTCAGGCGACCGGTTTCACTGAGGATCTTGGCGACTGGGGGCTCAAAGTTCTCACGGGCACATAGGCGGGAAAGATCACGAGCCGGCTCGCGGAAGTTGAACAGATCAGAGATGTTGAGGTGACGAGAAAGGAAGTGCTGCTCGAAGAAACGCTTGGCAGCCGGACGGCCAGCATGGAGGTAGATGGCGCCGATAACAGCGCGAACGAACTGGGAGGCGGCCGCTTCGGGGGTCACGCCTGCAGCGTACCGGTCGGTTGCCGGGGCCTGTTTTCGCGGGTCAACGCTGGCCTTGGTGGGGTCGCCGAAAACATCGTCGTAAACGATCTTCGACGTGATCGACCTCCGCCATGTCGTCTGCTCCTCGTAAGTTCTGTTCGTAGCGATAGGGGTTGCATTCGGGTCGACACCTGGGGCGGCTCTCGTGAACTGCAGGTGGCCAGGGTCGACCTCTCCACCAGGTGCAGCAGCTAGCTCCACACCCCATTCCCTCGACATAGCAGCCAATGTCTTGGGGCCGACATAGGCAAACATGGCGGCGAAGATGACCGTCATGGGAAGACGGGGATATGTGCAGATGAGGTATTCGGAGGTGTACTGGGTCAGGAGGTCATGACCAAGGGTAGCCAAAGACTCATTGTTGAAATTGTGGTTAGGATCAGCCGATTCGTCCACGAGACAGCGAGCAAGGGTCTCAAGAGGAAGTCGTGAAGGAAGGTAAAGTCGTGCATGGAGCGCAGCGAGTTTCGCGGACTCGCGTGCGGCCTTGACAGGCGGAGAAGGGAGGGAGTGCTTGGTGACTTTTGAGCGAGGGGAGCGAATTGATGCGGGAGGAGCTTGTTCCTCGATCGATTGTTCGGCCTCAGCAGCCGTGGCAGGGATAGAAGTCGTCGTCTGATACCGAATACCGTGTTGTATACGTCGCTGCAGTCTACTTCCAGCCCGGACCTGCGGCGAAAGGACCGAACTGCTCCATCGTTGGAGGTGCAGTCTCTTCATCTGTGCGATTTGTGTGAACTTGACAGGCACCCTAAGCCGAAGAAATGGCGATTGACCGTATATCCAGTTAAGGACTGCGTCGGGGCTTGGAGGATAGGAAACGGGGGAAGACGGTCGTCCAACGGGCTGTCCAACGGGCTGTCAGTACGAACTTTTGGTCGCCAGAGAAAAGTTGAGCGAGCAACAACTTCGGCGGAAGTCACGGGGTTTGGGTTTGGCGGTCGTGTGAGAAAGTCGCCCATGGAGCGCTAAACCTATTCCAGACATAGCGTCACGGGGTCTGGGACCGGGACTGGAGGGACGAACGACGGCCAATTCGGCTTCAAACCCGCCAGAACAACGCTTTCCAGCGAGCCATTGTCCAAGCTTTTCCCAACCCGCTCAATTCATATACCTTCAATCACAATGGGTGGAGGCGGAAAGATCCCGTATGTGATGTTTTGATTTTCTGAAGTCCCCCGTGTTGCGCTGACCGATGGCTCGCACGCAGGTATCCCAAGGAAGTCTGGTCTCCCGCCGGAGGCTGGTATGCTCAGCCCGCGAACTGGAAGCTCAACACCGCCATCATGGGTGCCACAGTGATTGGAATTGCTGCTACTGTCTGGAGCATCAGCGCCGACCGTGAGCACCGCGACAAGATGCCCGAGCCTGGCAGATTCTTCCCTAGTCGCTAGTCAGTTCAACCCAGCCAATCCCCTGTCAAGCGTTTCTAAGCATGTGGTCATTGACTCTATCTCGTCTATATAGCTGGAGCAGGGAAATCATCGAACACGAGAGAAAACAACAGGCCTCGAAGCAGGACTCATAATGTGGTTGACAGGAAATAAGAAGCGAGTGGGATAAAATGCAATTGCGAAGGTCTCCTGTGGCATGATAGGTTTTGTTTTCATCGTTTTTTGAGGGCTGTACGACAATAGAAGGGCGTTCTTCAACCGGTCAGTTGATCTGCGAGTGCTTCTGAGGAGACTCTTCAAGTGTTCGATACAAGCGCTGTGTGTACAGACGGACCCGTTCCGTGAACTCAGTCTCGTTCCAAAGCTCTCTTCCATCGGTAGATGTAGAAATCTGCGGTACGCCAATCTGCTCAACCACAAAGCTCGCCGCTACGGTAGCGAAGACCAGAGCTGATAGGAAATGCTCATAGGCGCTGCCAGCCTTCTTTGCCCTTCGCCAGGTCGTAGATTGCGCGAGCACCGAATCGACAATATTGGCTGGAGCTCTACCCGAGCTGGCCATTCCTTGAGTCAATGCTCCCAGGAATGAATTTCCGGCTCCAGTGGGATCGACCACAGGTGACGGCATCGACGTATCGGGCTGGTGGTACGCGGGCAGCCAGAGTCTTTGCTTTCGGGAAAACGAATAGCTGCCATCTTTACCAGCTCTGATAACGAGATGTCCATTCCCGTCAAGCCCAATGCCTTGGGAAAGAATCCTCTCCACAATAGCTTTCCCGTAGCTTGTCTCTTCGCTCCAGCCGGGTTGGCCAAACATCATCCCAAGCTCTAATTCATTGGGGCTCACGACGTCTACGACTTTTATCGCAGCCAAGAAGGTTTCTTGCTCTTCAGGAGTGCAAAGGTCTGGGACAGGTTCCCAGACGAAGACAGGTCGCTGCGTGGCCGAGACAGACAAGGGTACTTTGCCCTCTAGTTGTAACTGCTCCCGCCGTCGCAAGATTTCCTGCACAATAGACATACAGCGTGACGAGGAACAGACCATATGGAAGGTCTTTGAAAGCACTTGTGCGTCCGATAGCATTGACGGCTCTAGCCGCAATTTAGGTGTCAAGTACTTGAAATCTGGAGCAGCTTATCAGTCATGTGTGAGCTTGACGGACAGAAGCAACTGCAAATGCACTAACCCCTCTTTTCGTTCGGCCCGTAGCCATTCCAGGCTCTTGTAGTAAGTCGCCCATGACCTTCTCTTATGATACAATTTGTATCCCAGGATCTGATAACATCTAGAACCTCTGTGGGGAAGTCGGATCCAACATCAACAATCCAGCTCACGGATCGCGCATACTCTTTCCCAGCAACGAGGCGTGCGCCAATGACTGCATAAGATGCAGCGCCACCGAGGACATTCTTGACGGGGGGTCTTGTTCCTTCGAAGTCAATATCGTCTACAATGATCGGTGGGGTGCCAGTAAGTATATATTGGAAAGATGGTGGTCAACAAACGTGTGTAAGTTAGCGTACCAAGGATGAACATGCCCAGGGTGCAAAAATCGACCTTGTCTTCGGACGAGAGCCTATTGTTGCCTGCCATTGTGCCCAGGAGACAATCGCCTCTATCTCAACGTGTCTATATTTTGGTGTAGTATGCGATGGGCGGGGGTTGGAGGGGAAGTAAGTAAGATACTCTTCTGGTACGAGTATGATTTCTTCCTTATCGGAAGAAAGGACGGATTGATGACGGGGCTGATACAGCAACGTCATTGTGCAGAGACCGAGCGTTTGGCTGCTGGAAGGTTACCGGGGGGTAACAGTGGTAATAGTACAGTATAGCTACGGTAAGCTGTGGCTGGGCCCACCGCCCGATGCTCTAGCCTCAGGCACTGCGGGCCGGGGGGCTTGTTGGTTCAGGGAGCATCCATCATCCATCATCTGTCAATCAACATCATCCCACTGATCTCCTCACCCGCAATTGTTGCTGCCTTCCACAGCATTTCCCTTCTTCTGCTCAGCAGCCTAACTCTCTCTTTTCTTTCTGCTGCTGCCGCTTTTCATCATTTGGATTGCACAGCTTGCATTCACAACCCGTAGCCTTCTGACCTAGTCTCTCCCTGATTATTCTCCGATACCTACCTCCTTACTTCAACAGGGGCTTTCAAGATGGCGTCAGGAAGCCACATGCATAATCTCACAACCCTCATCAAGCGGTACGTTATTGCAATCCAGGCGCCAGATGTATTGGGAATTCAACCTCCAGACTTCATTCAATGTCCCCCTCATGACACTGACCATGTATACCTCACCACAGGCTGGAAGCCGCGACTTCCCGCCTGGAAGACATGGCGATGTCGCTGGACGACCCCAACTCGCCCAAGACCATCGGTGCTATCGCTGCGCCTGAGACGGCCACTCCTGAGACTCCAAAGGCGGCTCCTCCAGCTACCCCCGCGGCTCCTCCCGTGCCGCCACAGATCCAGGACTTCGACACACTGATCAACGAAGACGTGCGGACTTTCGTGGAATTGGGACAGAAGATTAATGGATTGGTCGGCGAGCAGGTACGTTGGTCTATAGGATCCAGCTCATGTTCCCTCAGCTAAAGCTTTTTGTTAGTCGAGAGCCGTTCAGCAGGCCTTCGAAGCCGAGCGCACCTACCTCTACGTCTCGACTAAAGCCAAGAAGCCCGACCAGCAGCCCCCGGAGCTCATGACGGAGCTTCACAATGCTTCGGACAGCATCAATAACATCCGCGAGTCTAACCGAGCGTCGCATTTGTTCAACCACCTGAGCGCAGTAGCGGAGGGCATTGTTGCTCTTGGCTGGTTCTTCGCCAGCAAGCCTGCTGATTTCGTCACTGAAATTGTTGGCGGCATCGAATACTATGGCAACAAAGTACTGAAGGACTACAAGGAGAAGTGCGTACTCCACCCAAACTCCAGCTTGGCACCTGCTAACGTTGCCCTTACAGAGACCGCACTCATGTCCAATACATCCAAGCCTACTACCAGATCTTCAAATCCCTCGCCGCCTACCTCAAGAAACACTACCCCAAAGGTCTGACCTGGAACGACCAGGACGGCATCGACGCCCAAGAGGCCCTGCGCCAGGTCAAGAGCGGCAGCAGCTCGGCCTCATCCCCTAGCGAAAGTAGAACCGCGCCCCCTCCTCCTCCCCCTCCCCCTGTACCTACTATCAACGTCTCTGGCGGTAATGGCGGCGCTCCCCCGCCTCCGCCTCCGCCCCCCGGCGTCCCCCCACCTCCCTCCAGCGCCCCCGGCTCTAGCCCCGACATGTCCGCCGTCTTCGACCAATTGAACCGCGGCGACGCCGTGACCTCCGGCCTCCGCAAGGTCGATAAGTCCGAGATGACGCACAAGAACCCCAGCCTGCGGACCAGCTCCGTGGTGCCCGAGCGGCCCAGCTCGCAAGGCAGCTCCGTCTCCTCGCCCACGTCGCGGGCCCGGTCCCCTGCGCCGCCCAGCACCAAGCCCAAGCCCGAGAGCATGCGCTCGCGCAAGCCGCCGCGCAAGGACCTGGAGGGCAATAAGTGGCTCGTCGAGCACTTCGACAACCCGGGCGGCATCGTCGAGATCAACGCCCAGCAGAACCAGTCGATCCTGATCTCGCGCTGCAACAAGACCATCATCAAGGTCAGCAACAAGGCCAACGCCATCTCCATCGACAACTGCACCGGCCTGTCCATCATCGTCGACTCCCTCGTCAGCAGCCTCGACGTCATCAAGTCCGCCAAGTTCGCCCTGCAGATCGACGGCGTCGTCCCCACCCTGCTCCTCGACCAAGTCGACGGCGCCACCGTCTACCTCGGCCAGCAGAGCCTGGCCACCGAGGTCTTCTCCAGCAAGTCCACCGCCATCAACGTCATGCTGCCCCCCAAGGAGGGCACCGACGACGACACCAAGGAGTGCCCGCTTCCCGAGCAGATCAAGTCCTACGTCAAGGATGGAGTCCTGGTCAGCGAGATCGTCGAGCACGCGGGTTAGAAGTCCCGACTTTCCGCTTACAAACTTGATTCGTTTCCGTCGCGGGTGTGACGACTAATCCTCCTCCGCGACGCTCAGGTTCGATTTGGTAGATGTGGCACAGGGGAGAGAAAAGAAGATCCCTTTTCTCCCCTCCATTGCCATATATTGTAGATAGATCTGTTTCTATTTAAATCCAATTTTTTTGGTGTTGAATATGCTTTCCACACTGTGTGCTTTGCAGACCTTTGTTTCCTGGAATCATCACAGGTAGAAAAGACTACTTCCATGATACGCTGCCAGAAGAAGAATCAACTTTGGTATTCATCTACTCCTCGAACAAACGCCAGCGCACCGAAAGAAGTGCCGTAGAATGAGCTGCTATTACATTGGGGCTCGACCCCCAAGAGTACCAAAGAACAGATAAGAGAGTCCCGCCCCTTGAAGCCGCGCAAAGTGACGGTTCCCTGAGCACAAACAGTGGCGACGATTTCAGAAAGGAGGGGATTATGAAAGCTATAGACATGTTGGGTATAGAAAGCTAGTCCGATAGGAGTACTCGTAACCTTTGGGCCGATCGGTAACTAGCAAGGGATATAAACGGACACTGATATGATCAGATCGTGAGATGAGCCTGCATCCCATTCGTATGAGCTGCTTGTTAGCGGGGAAAGGGTGTGATCTTTGAGGCATCAGGCATCACCCCAAAAGTAGGGGATACCGGTTGAGGTATACATCGCCTTCGGAGGAAGGGTAAGAGAGCGGAAGAATGTTAGATTTTACCGATCGCGCTGGAACGGTCACAGACCAGGTTACACATCAGCGCTTAGCTCGTCGAGAGCAAATGAGTGGGGATGAAAGTGTTTCTGTCTTTGTACATCCAGGCCCCGTAGTCGCTGTGCAAGGAGACTGTCACCGACTTCGGTTCCACCGGGCGAATAACCGCCGTAGCCATGCTCGCCCTTATGGAGCTTGCTATAGAGCCCAGCTTTAATGTTGCGCAGCTCAGCGTGTGCGTAAGATGGACTGACGTGCCTTCTCGCTGGTAGGCGGCCTGCTAGAGGATGTGGCGACGGCTCGCGCCCAACGAAGCTCTCGTCACTTGGAAGAGTGGACACCTCGTGAGTCGTAAGATGCCGTGCGAACGGGTTGCATTGTAAATGAGGCGGGTAGCCCGGATGAGACATCTCGGCAAAGCCGGGAAGTTCAGGCTTCGCA